AAAATATGATATGACGGTAAATAATAATAATAATAATAATAATAATAAAATAAAAAAAGATTGCATTTATGTAGCGCTCTATCATATTATACTGTATTAATATACGCTCTGAGTGCTTTATACTAATCACATAATCATACACACAAGATAAAATATTTCACAGAAGCAAGAAAATCCAGTTTAACCACATAAAGAAGAACTTTCACTACCATTCATTAACTATTAACTATACACGAAAGGGCAGTGGAAAAAAAGTAAATATATATATATATATCATGTACATGTATGTTTTAAAAAATCAGAAATTACTAACACACTATAACTAACAATTGAACAAATGAGTCTTGGACAATCACTTAAACCTATCAAAATTTGCTGTTTCTCTAAGATCCTGGGGCAAGGTGTTCCAGATTTTTGGGCCAAAAAATGAGAAACTTCTCACCAAAAGATCGTAATTTTATTCTAGGGGCTCTGAATTTTGCTGCATCTGTGGATGACCGTAACTGACGAGATGGAACATACAGAGTTAACAGCTCAGATAGATGGGATGGGGTTTTATCGTTTAGACATTTAAAACAGATGGTAGAAGCTTTATATTGGATTCTTTTATCAACTGGAAGCCAGTGCAGAGCTTTGAACATTTTTGATGCAAGATCTTTCTTCTTTTTCTTCAGCACTAGTCTTGCGGTGTCATTTTGGGCCACTTGCAATTTCCTCATTTGTTCACACGAAATACCATACAGAGCAGAATTACAGTAATCAAGTTTTGACAAGACAAGAGAGACAGAGAGCATGCATGCAACATTGTATAATCGTTTTCCTCCTAGACTAAAGAAATTTAGACCGGTTTGCTTTCTCGGTGAATTGCCAGATTTAGTAAGTTTTGAAAGTGAAACTATCAATGGCAATCAATGGGACAAGTGCAGGTGCCCAACTTAAGTCCAGCTAGCTACATACATTTACAGATTACATGTAACTCTACCACTTCACCAGCCCACCACTATCTATGGTTCTTAGAAAAAAATTATTTTCAGACCTAACAACGAAAGGTTTAATTGCGCATTATCGAATTCTTTGAGGAGGCGACATTCCTAGGTCAAGACAAATTAAGGCGCTGAGGACATAGCCTTCTTTTACTGACTATGGGTGTTTAATACTTTGCGCAACCACCAACGCTTAAGGCCAGTGGTCATTTAGGTGGCGGACTGTTCCGAACCTGCTAGTCAGGGCCAACCTGGGCTCAGTGGGATACATCACCCCAACAGAAAAATTGAGATATGGAAAACATGTACTCGATAACATTGGCTGTTTCATATATAAATATATAATAATACTTTACTTTTTAACTTTTTTTTTGGTTTTTTTTTTTTGGGGGGGGGTTAGATATCTAAGTGTATTACGGCGCTGTCAACTGCATAAGGTCATAATTTATGAGCATTTAACATTTTCAGATGGTAGGTAGGAAGTTTTGAATTTGCCCGGGTAGTGATCGAAGCCTACTCTTATCGATTTTGGACCACCAAAGGGTCTAAAACGCGCGTAACTTGCAAACGGGACCTCAGAAATTTTTCGTCCTTATCCATGAAAACTAGGTGTTAGATTTTACCAACCATATAATCAGAGGTGTGGCTGAAAGAAGGAGTAGCATTAGAAGTGTTGCAGAAAGAGCCAGGAGCCCAGAGGAGCGGGCAAAGAGGGGTGGCGAGAGGGGGCAGAAAGTGGAGACAAAAGCCAAAGACAGAACATTGTTCGAGAGCAGGAAAGGAGGAGAAAGTTGGACATTTTAGGGAACAAAATTTTCAGTCGTTATCCGGATTCGAACCCGGGACCTATTGAACGAGGGGCAAACACCGCATCCTCTCGACCACGAGAACCCCTCTTTTTTTAGTTTTTCGATCCAGCGGTCTTTGGAGTTCTAGCCCTATGGCCTGAATATTTTCCCACAATATTATAAGATACGGTTAAATGATTGATTGGACTATCACTAGTATCACACCTTTTGCGTGAGAGAGCATAGCCGCTACACAAAATTTGCCGGTAGATGCATTTGAAGAAAAAAAAAAACAACCACCCAGCAGATCTCTATACTTAGCAACGCGCATCGAATCCTCGTTTCGTTCGTACCCCAAAGGGGGCCCGGAGCCATATTTTGAAAAAAAAATTAAAAAATTCACCAGCACAGCATCAAGTCGTGTCTGGAAGTGCGGTGGTTTCTGTGTCTGTTTCATGCTTTTCCGAAGTGAAGAATATCATAATATTCCCTGTTTTCCCTGTATCTTTGTCGTATAAAAACTCTATGAAACTATGTTGTCTATGCTGTTCTCTTGTAGTCCGTTCCGAGCCATGATACATGCACTCGTTGTCCCGGTTTTGCCCTCTTTATCATCATCATCAAGGTATCCAAGGAGAGTGGCTACATGTGGGGTCACGCCCGACAGCT